GTGATAAAGACGTCTGGGTTACTATTGTATTTTAATACCCACGTGATAAAGACGTCTGGGTTACAAGTGTATTTTAATACCCACGTGATAAAGACGTCTGGGTTACAGTTGTATTTTAATACCCACGTGATAAAGACGTCTGGGTTACTATTGTATTTTAATACCTACGTGATAAAGACGTCTGGGTTACTATTGTATTTTAATACCTACGTGATAAAGACGTCTGGGTTACTATTGTATTTTAATACCTACGTGATAAAGACGTCTGGGTTACAAGTGTATTTTCCTACCCACGTGATAGGAATTGTTTGTACATTTCTAATTTATCCAATTTATGTCATTAATTCTTTTATTGAGAACTTTGTCAGCTTAACGCAAAGTTTAGGATCTTAGTTATCAAAAAAGAACAGATAATCAATGATATATATTTTCTCCATGTTCAATATCTAAACTTTGATTTATAGGGCATTGAATACCCGTCTCAACCTGAAGATACAAAAACCTAACCCCAAAAGACCAGCCTGTGTACGATTGCTTCAATTGTCTCTCTCGTGTTACTTGATATACTGTTGTTCGTAATTCTTTACTCTAGTTGAGGACAGCTTCTTTATAGAGGAATTTGTTATTAATTATAATAACAAATAATAAACTTATCTTTTTTTCCAGCTTTAAATATAAAACAACCAGCTATTTCTGTTCTCGCCATTGACCCACTAAGATTAAGCCTACAAACCGCTTCATCTTGAATGTTTACTATGAGCACCTTAAGGACCTTTATTCATATTGAGCTAGTTTTACCGACACTTAGTGTTTGATTGACACCCAGTGTTTCTATTTAAGTTCACCCCTATGTGTTGAAAAACGTTTTTCAAAAAAAAACAAAACAAATATTGGATACAAAGTTAATTTCTCGCAAATTTAGTTGATTTTTGCTATTTGCAACAACAACAACAACAACAAAAAATTGCACTTGAAACTTTAAGTTCCATATTGTAGTTTTGCCACCAGTGGCGTATCCAGACTTATCACGGGGTTAAAGACAATTAAAGGAGCTTGGCATGTCACGTGTCATATCCTGCAACCAGTAATCAGTTTTAGAATTTGTATCAAAAACCCCAGTGTAATTACAATTAATAATCTTACCTTCTCCAAATCTGTTCCGAGTTTTCCAAAGTTATTCAAGATCATTTCTCTACTAAAGAAACTGGAAGGAAGGTAAGAGATTTCTATTTAGTATTGATAATTGTACAACTCTGTTCGACTAAAGCATGTCAATAAAAATTAAACGAATCAGTTATTGATTGTTGTTTATCTTTCAGTGGCAGAGGGTACTGGGGAACATGCTGAAGATTCTGCCAGTGGGGGAGATTAACCCTCCCTGCCCCCTAGTTACGCCGCTGTTGGCTATACATGGTTTATATAGTTTCCACAAACATCACACTCGATATCGAAATTCGGCCATGTATAGCATATACAGAATAACATTTGTATTTAGTCATAAGTTCTTAGTAGACGTTCATGTAACAAAGTTGCTACTTCACAAATGTGCGGAAAACTCACCTTTTGTGATGTGGTTGTAATCGTAGTGTGTGTGCATAAGATGTGTTTTTATTTGTTTTTATTAATGACCTTTTGTGATGTGGTTGTAATCGTAGTGTGTGTGCGTGCATAAAATGTGTTTTTATTTGTTTTCTTTAATGACCTTTTGTGATGTGGTTGTAATCGTAGTATGTGTGTGTGTGCATAAGATGTGTTTTTATTTGTTTTCATTAATGACCTTTTGTGATGTGGTTGTAATCGTAGTGTGTGTGTGTGCATAAGATGTGTTTTTATTTGTTTTCATTAATGACCTTTTGTGATGTGGTTGTAATCGTAGTGTTGTGTGTGTGTGCATAAGATGTGTTTTTATTTGTTTTCATTAATCACCTTTTGTGATGTGGTTGTAATCGTAGTGTGTGTGTGTGTGCATAAGATGTGTTTTTATTTGTTTTCCTCAATGATCATATTTTTTTCAGTGCATTGCCCCCCTATTTACAAAATTGTACATCAACTTTATTTCACTTACATTTTGTTGAGGAGTGATATTACATTTTGTTGAGGAGTGCTATTACATTTTGTTGAGGAGTGATATTACATTTTGTTGAGGAGTGCTATTACATTTTGTTGAGGAGTGCTATTACATTTTGTTGAGGAGTGATATTACATTTTGTTGAGGAGTGCTATTACATTTTGTTGAAGAGTGATGTTACATTTTGTTGAAGAGTGATATTACATTTTGTTGAGGAGTGATATTACATTTTGTTGAGGAGTGATATTACATTTTGTTGAAGAGTGATATTACATTTTGTTGAAGAGTGATATTACATTTTGTTGAGGAGTGATGTTACATTTTGTTGAGGAGTGATATTACATTTTGTTGCAACAACTTAAGTAGGTGATATTCAACAAATAAACACATGATTAAAAGAGTAAATGGCAGCATAAATGTTCCAGATTATAATACCAAATTAATTTTGAACTTATACTTATTAATTAATAATTATACGCATAGATTAAAAAAAATGAATGCTACATACACAATCAACTGTATACTGAAACTATCAGGAGTTCTTTGTACATTGCAAATTAAAAAAAAATATAAAATAATTCTTGCGAAAAGATTTTAAGAAGTATTATTTTATATAGAATTAAACAATTTGAATAAATTTTCTTTTGGAACTTTAAAAGCTCCAGCAAGAAATGCTGTCACATATTCTTTTTTTTTCAACCATAGTTCATGCTTCTCAAGACTTTGACATAATGCCAAATGACAGCGAAGTGGATCCTGGTTTCACAGCAACATTAACTTGCAGGGTCAGGAACAGGCTAGGAGAATGTGTTTGGTTGAAAGATGGAGAGGTTGTTGGAAGGATAAGTAACAAATATAGCTTCGAAAAACAGCCTTCAGATGGAGATTGCAGCATTCGTATTATAAATGCTAATTTGGAGATGGATGATGGACACTGGCAGTGCCAGGTGACTCAGACTTCCTTAGAAGATCCCATTTTGAAATCCAAGAACATTAAATTAACTGTACGAGGTGGGCAATTTGAAATGTTTAGTTTCGATATTTGGATGCTGACTTGCTCCACAGTCAATAGGAATAGTAAAACAATGAAACAAGGTTTTTTCTTTGTTAATAAAATAAATCTAGTGACGTCTTTTAACTCTTGTAAGATGGTTAATTTATCTTTTACTCTGATATCACTGTGTTATATTATCATTAAATACAATAGACTGAATGTACAAGATATACATGATTTAATTTCTACATATGTAAATAAGTTCAGGTTTGATATAAAATATAGATTGGTCGTGATTATAAAAAAAAATCATCTTTGTTTTTACATTTCATTAATCAGTTTTTTATCACTATCTTCAAGCATTAAGATAAAAAATACTGTTTTTAGAGCAGATTTCTTCACCATTTAACATACACAAGGAGTTTTTTAAGTTGTATTTTTCTTTCAAAACAAAAGTCCACTGACAGTCTTCAGTTGTACTCTTGTTTTATAGAGGCAAAAAGAACCAGAGATGAAATAGCATCATTTATTTTGAAAACACAGAGATTTTAAAAGAATAGTTTAAACAACCCATGCTAACAATAAACTAGCTAAGTTTGGCTACATGTGATGTGCTCCTTTAAATTTGTTATTTGTATTTCTTGGTTTTAGATATAACATATCTTTGTTCCTGATCCCATAGAAACCCCTCGACCACCCCAAATCGAAGACAACACTATTCAAATTAAGTCAGGTGAAAATTTCATGACAAGGGCAGGACAGCCCAAGAAGCTAAGCTGCGTGTCCAGAAAAGGAAATCCTCCGGCAGAACTGAAATGGTTTATCGAGGAAGATGACATCACAGCTATGGCGAGCCAGACGAATGGCTCAGATATAGAAAAGCCTAAGACCTGGCAGGCCATCAGTATCTTGCACTACACATTTCTAAAGATTCACAATGGTAAGCTCTTAAGGTGTGTGGCCCTCCACAGAGGTTATGATACCAACTCCCGAGAAACCAGTACTCGTCTTGATGTATTATGTAAGTATAACTCTTTAAGATAATAAGTGTAATTATATAGCTGTGAAGTACGTCTAGTTCGGGTTATTATATTTATCATCACAAAACCACAACGACACTTCTTCTTTTCTTCCAAATTTGACAAGTAAAATGATTTACATAAGTCTTGAAATCCAGTGTTCTAATTCGACTGGAAGTAATTATATAAATGTTAGTTTTCCAGTGAAACTACTATCACATCCTGGCACGATAATGAATATAATACACATCACAGAATTCTTCCAGTCAGCTAGAAAGTATTTCAAATCTACTAAAACTCACCGTAGGTCCAGGACTATTTTATTTTTCGTCGATTTCGCCGACTTCAAAATTTTGATTTCTGAAAAAGAAATATAATTTGTATTTCCATCTTTTTTTTATTTCATTGGTGAGTGGCACAGCATGTTAAGGGAAGGCCAGGGTTGTTTTTTGTTGCTGGTTTTTTTTCAGTTTTACGAAAAATTTCCAATGAAGCTAGGGGTCGGAGGATGAGGGAAAATAAAATAAAACTGTGCCATCAGTTACTAGCGTGCATGCAATTTAGGTGTCTGAAATCCCCTGACCGCCACATTTTCGTCTTTATTTCTCCCCCAATGGCTTCATCGAAATAATTTTTTTGTATTGAATGTCTCTCAATATCCAAGTTTCCCTTATAACTACCGAGATTAATACCGCCATTTTGCACGTGACTCGCGAGACGCACTACCGTTTCACCCTCTCCACCTAGTGACAAATACCGTACTTGATCTTATATTTTATTAATTTGCGAATCACCATTGTAAAAAAAAATAGCGCAACTTTCTCGAAGTGGGACGGTATTTGTTTCAGCTTTTGTCTATCGCTTGTTACTTTGTTTCTACCAATATCACTGCACCACTGACCACTAATGACTTTGCCTGTCATTTACCACGTTTATTTCTACCAATACTGCTGACGACGTTGCCTGTCATTTACTACGTTTGTTTCTACCAATACCGCTGACGATGTTGCCTGTCATTTACTAAGTTTGTTTCTACCAATACCGCTGACGATGTTGCCTGTCATTTACTAAGTTTGTTTCTACCAATACCACTGACGACTTTGCCTGTCATTTACTAAGTTTGTTTCTACCAATACCGCTGACGACTTTGCCTGTCATTTACTAAGTTTGTTTCTACCAATACCG